GCGGTCTTGGTGAGGCGCTCGATAGTCTGGTTCTTGTGCTCCTCCGCCCGCCGCGCCGCCTGCAGCCGCCTCTTACGAGCCCGCTCCTCGCGCTTCAGCAGCATCTCCTCGGTGAGGGCGGGGGCCGGGCAGCCCCCAGCCACAGGCAGCGGCAGCATCGGGGAAGACTGACTCTGCGCCTTCTGGAGCATAGCTCGCTGGGGAGAGACAGGTGGTGTCAGAAAATCAGAAAATGGAGAAGCGAGGTCTGCAGGAAGGGCCAGCAAGGGTCACAAGGAGCGCGGGCCTTGGGAGGAGGGTGGGAGGAGTGCCCTTTCCAGGAGCCCTTACTACTGCCTCCTCCCCCGGGTCTCCAGACTTTCAGCTTTAGGTCCTTGACTCTCAAGGGGAAAAGTATTAGTAATGTTGCCTGCCTGCCCTGGGTACCAAATTCTCTGCACCATATTTCTGAGGATTTTTGTTGTTAAATCTTTATCTCATTGAAGCATCCATTAGATAAGTGCTTAATTCCTGAAAAGCTCCTCTGGTACTGGAAATGTTAGCTCTTCAAAGAGGTCTTCCCTCCCTATCTAATGTTTCTTTCCTACCACTTTCTGTTTCATCACCCTATTTTTTTAAATAAACTTAACTGCTTTTTAAAATTATTTCCTTATTTACCTACACACACATGAATACCAGCTCCATGAGAACAGAAAAGTGTCTTTTCCCCATCAGTGATTGCCCAATGCCCAGCAAAGTTCTTGGGACATGGAAGATCCTCTCTAAATATCTGGTAACTGAATGAAGAATGAACCAATTTACCTGTCGAGCAGTGAGCAGCCGTTCGTTGATCTCCTTCTTGAGATCCCCATTGTCATCTAGCTCTCCCTTCTCCAGGGCATCCAGCCACCTCTGTTCCTCCTCTTCCTCCTGACCCCCTAAGTCCCCCGACAAATCTCGAAGTGGGGAGGGGGACAAATTACTATCTTCATCTGGAGAGATAAAAGTAGAATTGTTCAGGTGGGGCACCCGAATGTGGCCAAGTTAGTACTGGAACACTCAAAATTCCCTCCCTCCTCTGAAGTAACCTCCCTTTCATCAGGTATAATGAGGAACCCTTTTCCCCACCTCCAGCTCCTTCTCACCCAGCCAGGCACGGTACTGCTCAAGGGGGACTCCTTCCATTGGTTCCTCTTCATTGTCCACAACCATAAGGGGAGAGGGGGACCGGGGCCCCTCAGGGATCACAGTGAAGGTAGGAACACTGCAGAGAAGCAACACCACTCTGTAAGCGGGGCCAGTATCTTCCTTCGGCTCAGGAGCTACCTCCAGCTGTCCCCCCACCCTCTAGGTTCTTCCTGGGCCCCCAAGTCACCGTGTCCATTCTATCTTCTGGGAAGCCCAGCCAGCGTCTCTTTTCTTTGCCTCCTTCTAAAGTTCCCCAAGTAAAACCTTGGTTCCCTTGGCCTCACCTCTTGGTGCCCAGGACCTGCCCACCCAGCTTGATTTTGAGTTTGAGCTGGGGCTTGGCAGGAGACGGCTGCGTGGGCCCAGCTTCCTCTTCCTGATGGTGTTTTTTCTTGTGTTTCTTCTTGTGCTTCTTGTGCTTTTTCTTGTGCACTCCGTGGCCGTGGGCACCCGCCAGACTCAACTCCAGCGCCTCCCCTGCGGAAGGAGAGCCTGTCATCGGTGTGAGGCAGGAGTGGGGTAGTGAGAGCCCCGAAGAACCCAGTTTCCCTAAGGGCTCCCACTCTTCCCGCGGTACTCGTTGCTACCATAGCAACAGCCCCGCCTTCCTCCTCCCACCTGTGGCCAAGTACCTTGAAAGCTCCGAGAAGCGAGAAAGGAACTCCTTTTCTGCAAAGGAACTCCTAAGTTGCTTTATCGACCCGCGCTTACCTGGCTCAGGGGCCTCCATAGCCCCAGAGGTGCTCCCGCGCCGCCACAGCTTACTCATGGGTTCCTGCTAGGAAAGGGGGCTGGAAATGATCAGGGAACAGGCAGACATGCCTCTTCCGCCCCGCGGAAGAACCGATTCCAGCAAAATAACCGGTACTTCCGGTGCGTAGCAACCACGTTTGTGCGGGGTACGCATTGACGCTAGAATCGTCCCTGAGAAACAACGATCCTCCCAACCAAAGTTCCGGCCCCTCAGTCTGGGACAATTCAAAAGGCTCGGCTTTCCTTTCGTTCCATCTCTCCGTGGCAGAACCGGTGCCAGCGCGGGCGGTATGACTATTACACTCCAGCGTCGTGAGCGTATGCTCCCGGCCAAGTTCGGGGCTAGGCAGTGAGGACACCAGGATGATGTGAACACTCTCCTCTGCCTTCGAGGAGCTAGCTCATAGCTCGGTGGAGGAGAACATAAACTAGGTTGCCCGCAAAACGGCAGAAGTGCTTAACAGCACAAGTCCTACGAGCAGGGCAAATACTTAGTGTTTAAGCCTAAATTCTCATCAGTAGGGAAATGGATAAATGAATTATGGTGCATCTGTGCAATGTGGGGCACCATGTTGCTAAAAAATTAAGAGTGATAAGTAATTGATAAGATTGACATGGAATGTAGATTCTAGTAGGTGATAGCATTGGAAACAATCTAAGTGTTCTCTAATGAAACACCAATATAAGTTGGTATGTGGATTTGGCACATCCATACCATGGGAGGCTATGTTACTGTTAAAAGAAACGAGGCCCCAGAAGGCTACCCAAGAAACGGATGGATGGCTGAAGGGAGGCTTGTTTTTCATAAAATACCCTGTTGTGCCTATTGAATTTTGCATAAAATGTGTATGTTTAAGCTAATTTAAAAAACACAAGGTAGTTCTGTGTGTGTTGATATAGGAAATAAGCAAGTTTCAAGATGATGTAATTCCATTTAAAAGACATAATAGCCCTAACCGGTTTGGCTCAGTGGATAGAGCGTCGGCCTTCGGACTGAAGGGTCCCAGGTTCGATTCCGGTCAAGGGCATGTACCTTGGTTGCGGGCACATCCCCAGTTAGGGGGTGTGCAGGAGGCAGCTGATCGATGTTTCTCTCTCATAAATGTTTCTAACTGTCCTTCTCCCTTCCTCTCTGTAAAAAATCAATAAGATATATTAAAAAATAAAAAAAAGACATAATAACTCTGGCCGGTGTGGTTTAGTTGGTTGGGACTCATCCAGTGTAATAGAAGGTGGTGGGTTAGATTTCTGGTCAGATCCCGAGATCAGGAAGCAGCCAATTCACATCAGTGTTTCTCTCTCTCTCTCTCTCTCTCTCTCTCTGTCTCTCTCTCTCTCCCTCTCTAAAAATCAATTTAAAAAATTTTAAAGACATAATATGCTACTATATACATAGAAAAAAAATCAAGGAATGTATACTATCCTGTTAATGGTGCTTATCTTTAGAAGTTGGGGGTCAGAGAACTTTCACTACCCAGATCTGTAAGGAATTTTCTTACAGCCAGTGTATATCACAATTATAATTAGAAAAAAAAATTACCACCTATATACATATATTTAAATATGTCTGAGATGTGTAGCTGAACAAGGTAGCAACAGTGAACAAAGAAAGAACTGATTCAAGAGATATTTCCTTGATAAAAATGAAAAGGAATCCATGAGCAATTATATATGGGAATTCAGTCAGGAAGAAGTCAATGTAATATAGTGATTGATATTTGTTAAACGTTTTTTATTTTTATTTATTTTTTAATATTTTATTGATTTTTTACAGAGAAGAAGGGAGAGGGATAGAGAGTTAGAAACATCGATGAGAGAGAAACATCGATCAGCTGCCTCCTGCACACCCGCTACTGGGGATGTGCCCGCAACCAAGGTACATGCCCTTGACCAGAATCGAACCCGGGACCCTTCAGTCCGCAGGCCGACGCTCTATCCACTGAGCCAAACCGGTTAGGGCTAAACGTTTTTTATTGATTTTTAGAGAGAGAGGAAGGGAGAGGGAAAGAGAGATAGAAACATTGATCTGCAGCTTCCTGTATATCCCCTGTGGGGGATCAAGCCCAAACCCCGTCATGTGCCCTGCGGGGCATAGAACCAGTGCTCAGATCTATGCTCAACCACTGAGCCACACCAGCTGGGTGATGGTGATTAATATTAAGAGTAAGACAAGCCTAGTATCAAATCCCAGTTCTATCACTTGTTACTTATGTAACCTTGGGCTCAAGGTTATTTAAGCTTTCTGAACCTCAGATTCCAGCTTTGTAAGATGGAATGAAGTAGGATCTATCTACTTCATAGGGCTTTTTCAAGGGGTAAAGCAAATCAAGAATGCAAAGTACCTAGGGTCGTATCTGGCACATAGATGTTCAATAAGCACACAACAACAAGAATAGTAAACAAAATATTTCTAGCCCAAATATTTTTGGGGAACAAGGTGTTTTAAATAAAGATAATATAGGGACAGAAGCAAGTAAGAAGGGAAACATTTAGTGTTGCCTAAGGTAAATTTTTTAATGAAGTTATTATTTATTTTATATTTTTATTGATTTCAGAGAGGAAGGGAGAGGGAGAGAGAGATAGAACCCGGCTGCCTCCTGCCCGCCCCTTCCGGGGGATCGAGCCACAACCCGGGCATGTGCCCTTGACCAGAATCGAACCTGGGCCCCTTTGGTCTGCAGGCCGACGCTCTACCCACTGAGCCAAACCGGCTAGGGCACCTATGGTACATTTGAAGTGCCTGTGGGAATGTCCAAATAAGATGGACCACCGAGAGAAGCCAGTGCAGAATGTTGAGTGGTGGGTGTCATCAGCATTATAATGGTGGTCCCTAAAAGGCTGGGAACATAGACATTCCAAAATGAGCAAGTAGATGGAGAGGAAAGGATTGGGAACAGACCTGAGTGGGCACCTGTCCTGGCTGGGCAGGCAGAAGGAGAAGAGGCTATGTTGAGAAGAGGAGGTCAAGAGAGGCAAGAAAGGCATGCAAGGGCAAAGGGTATCGCCGGGGAAAGGCTGTGATCAGCTGTGTACAGTTCTGCAAAGGGCAGGCTGAACTTTAAGAGCAGGATACATTCTAGCAGGATGTGAGGACAATAGTCCTGTATCACCAGAAGTTAAAATGAGGAGTCACCTGTAGTTAGAATTAGAGTTGATAACCTGCTTTTATATCCCTGCTTTCCCTTGATCCCCAGGGCAGCTCCCTAAGGAAGATGCTGCTGTTCCCTCATGAGGAGACTGAGGCTCAGAGAAGTTAAATGATTTGGCCAAAGTCACGTAGCTAAGGAGTGGCAGAGCCAGCCTCAAACTGAGGCTTCCTGACACTGGGTCCAGTGGTGTTTCCTCCACATCCTGATACCCTGCGGGGAGGAAATGGCGGCAGCAAGCAGCCACTGGCTTCATGACTTTGTTTTTAGTTTTGCTTTGTTTAGAGTGGCAGAGATTTGAGCATGCTTGTAGGCAGAAAGGAAAAACTTCTGCTGAAAGAGTTCTTGGCCTTATTTTTAAAATATAATTTATTTGGAAATAATTTCAAACTCACAGAAAAGTTTCAAGAAGGGTACAAAGAACTTTATCTCCTTAAGTAGATTGTTCCGTTGTTGACATATATACCATTTTCTACCTTACCCCATTATCATTCCTTTTCTAATTAATCTGAGAACAAATTGTAGACATGATACTATTTCAACCTTAAATATTTCACTGTGTTTTTCTCAAAACAAGTACACTGTTCTACAACCTTGGGGCCACCCTCCCAATCCGGAAATTAACATCGATACAGCACTGCTGTCTAACCCACAGACCCCGCTCAAATTTCACCAACTGCCCAACTTTACCTTTTCCTTTCTAGCCCAGAATCCAAATTCAGGATCATGCATTACTTTTACTTATCATGTCTCTGATCTGCTCCCCCTCCCCCACCTTTTACTTATTTTATTTTATTTTAAAAAATATGTTTTTATTGATTTCAGAGAGGAAGAGAGAGGGAGAGAGAGAGAGAAATGTCAATGATGAGAGAGACGCATCGATTGGTTGCCTCCTGCATGCGCCCCGACTAGGGCCAGGGATCAAGCCTGCAACCGAAGTACATGCCCTTGACTGGAATCGAACCCAGGATCTTTCAGTCCTCAGGCCTATGCTCTATTCATTGAGCCACACCCGCCAGCCCCCTCCCCCTTTAAAAAAATATGTTTTTATTGATTTCAGAGAGAGGAAAGGAGAGGGAAAGAGGGATGCAAACATCAATGATGAGAATCATTGATCCACTGCCTCCTGCATGCCTCCTATTTGGGGATTGAGCCTGCAACCCGGGCCTGTGCCCTGACCAAGAGTCGACCCATGACATCCTGGTTCATGGGTCAACACTCAACCACTGAACTACACTGGCCAAACTCTTTGATATGCTTTAATCTGGAACATTTCTTTTGTGTCCTTGGCGGTTATAGAGTACAGGCCTATGATTCTGTAGGATGTCCCTCAACCTGGATCCATCTGGTGTTTCCTTATATCTAGACCCATAACTTCTCGGTAGTAGTACTACACAAAAAATGATTATGGTGTATTCTTTCCAGAGTGTGGCCTCAGGAGGCCCATGATGTCAACCTACCCCACTATTGATGATACTAAACTTGATCACCTGGTCAAGGCGGTATCTGTCAGTTTTCTTCACTATAAAGTCACCATTTTCACCTTTGTAATTAATGAGTATTTTCTGGGGAAATACTCTGAAACTAATATGCTGTTCTTCATCAAAAGTAATGCATGATCCTGAATTTGGATTCTGGGCTAGAAAGGAAAAGGTAAAGTTGGGCAGTTGGTGAAATTTGAGCGGGGTCTGTGGGTTAGACAGCAGTGCTGTATCGATGTTAATTTCCGGATTGGGAGGGTGGCCCCAAGGTTGTAGAACAGTGTACTTGTTTTGAGAAAAACACAGTGAAATATTTAAGGTTGAAATAGTATCATGTCTACAATTTGTTCTCAGATTAATTAGAAAAGGAATGATAATGGGGTAAGGGAGAAAATAGTATATGTCA